CATCTTGTCACACCAAAAAGAAAGAAGCTGTTAAAGCCTACTAAGGTCATGCCATAAGAACTTAGGAGCCAATTTGAAGAGGCTCCCAGTGACCAAAGATGAAGCAATTTGAGTATCAGTGAAGATATGAACTACAATGAATTGAAAATTATCAAATATCTTTAAATTTGTGAGTTCAAAGTAATGTTTTTAATTGAATTGGTCCTTGTGAAGATAATAGGGAACCAGCTTGTTCTCTTGAAACCTAGGTAAATAAAATGAAAGAATCAATTATCTTGCTTTCCCTATTTGAACTATATCACTGGGTAACCAAACAGTAGAGGAGTATCTCCTTACGAAAATATTCCAGTTAACATAAGGAAACAAAATGACAAAATTTTACTATCACTATTTGGAAACACCATGAATTAATGGATCTAGGCACTGAACATCAATGGTTGGTAACATCAAGAAAGAACAAAACCCAGATATTAGGTGTCTCCAGATGAAAGAACACCTTACCACCTATAGTCTCGCCAAAAGGATCAAAAGGAATCTGATCAAGTTTCTGGATCCCACTGTCAATGTGCAGAAAATACAGATGACAGAGTAACATATGGAACTATATCACGGTTCTACAAAGAGCAGAAAACAGACTATGAGAAAATATATTAGTTCTTTCACAGATAAATTGTAAGCAATGAAAGGAATGGAGGAAAATCTGTACATTTAAAAAAGGACTTAAAAGATCAAGTTTTTTAAAAATGGGCAGACTAAAGCTACCTTGTCAAGGGATGCATATTTGGATAATAAAACCATCAAAAAACCCAAGGTAACAAGCAAAAGGCAAGCAAAAGTCAGGGTATTGATTACTTTGAGAGGAAGGTTAAAGATTGTGATTGGTATGAGGAGCATGAAGTGGATCCTGGCGTAACTGGCAAAGTCCACTGTGTTGTGGTTTGTTTGTTCCCGTATTTTTATTTTACAATTAAGAGGTTTTTGGGTTTTTTTTTAAGTGTCCAATGAGTTTAACATTCCTGGCAAAAGAAGTTTCAATAGAGCTGTAGAACAAAAGTTAGACTGCAGTGAGATAAGGAATGAAAGGAAAGTTAGAAATGGGAATAATAAATGTAGGCTTCTATCACTAGAATTGTGGCTGAGAATGGAAGGAGAGAGAGCTGTAGGCTTAAGATGACATAGGGCAAAGACAGAGAGGTTTCCTTTTTTTCTTTTTGCTCATTTGGTTTAAAATGAATGAGACTTGAACAGGTTTATGTGCCAAAGGGAGAGAAAAAGTAGAAAGCGGAACATTAGAGATGCATTTGAGAGAAGGGTAATTGACAGAGCAAAATCCATGAGAAGACTAAAGGGAATATGATACAAAAAATAGGTAGCAGATTGACCCTAAGTAGGAGGCTGAAAGTGGTCATTTCTACCGAGACAGTGGAAAGGAAATGAAAAATTTGTGGTGAACTTAGAGATGGAGGGCTAACAGCAGAAAGTTGAGGAAGTCCCACTCTCTGTTCTCTATTTTCTCTGTGAAACAGGAAAGGGATTATCTGCTGATATAGGTGGGAGGTGGGGAGCATAAGGTATTCAGTGAATGTTTAAAATATCCAAAGTGGTGTTGGAAGTTCCATAGGGACTGAAAGCTAAATTCATAGCGATACTAATCCATGCCATTTTGTCATTTTCTTCAGAAACTTGAGTGTAGGATTAAAGATGGTATAGTTAAATTGATGAACTCTTTGTTGTTCATTTGTATTTTCAGATCAGCCTAATGAGGCAGGGGAACTGACATCATTGGCAAGGAGCTGGTTAAGGTGATAGGGAAAGACAGAAAGGAGAGTACTGAAAAAATGGGGCCAGGGGAGGAAATAACTCAGGCTTAAAACACTAAGTGAATAGGGATATGGGATGAAAAACAGATTTAGGAGAAAAGATAATGAGTTCATTTTTAATATTTCAAGTTTCTATGTCCAGTTCTAAATGTGAACCCAGATGCCCAGAAGGAGATCTGGCCTGAAACTGCAGATTTGAGAAGCATCACCTTAAAGAAAATATATAGAGTAAAAATAGAATATTAAAAAAAAAAAAAAAAACTGAAGAAAGAATCCTGAAAAACACTCTGGCTTAAAGATCAGGTAGAGAAATAGCAGGTATCAAAAGTCTCTGGGATGGACAGGCCAAAGAGGTAAGGAAAAAATCCAGGTGAAAGATGTCCCCAAAGTCCAGAAAAAAAAGTTTGGGGGTGGGGGGTGGTCAAAATGTCAATGCTGCTGAGATGTGCAAAAGATGCCTTATTCATCTTTGTTTTCTTAGTGTCTAGGAAAACATGTGGCACATAGATGAAACTCAGTAAGTGTAAATGTCCATGTTGTGTCCATCTCAATACCTGCAAGTCTCACTCCAACACTGTTAGAGCTGTAAAAAATGCAAAAAGGGTATACAGGAAGGAAGGAAGGGAAGGGAAAGAAAAGGAAAAAGAAAAGAAAAAAGAAAAAAATATCTCACTCACCCAAATGCTCCATGCCGGTCCCATGTCTCTCCATCCCAGCTCACTGAAAATCATCCTATAAAACAAGGCATAATCCAAGTTCTCCCAAGCTGCATATGCCTGTAAAATACAGACTGACTCATTGAAACAGTACAAATTCAAAGTTTCCTTGCTCTTGGGCCCATGTGAGATGCAGGGCTTACAGCTCCTTGAGAACACCCACCCCCCCCTCCCCCCGCAAGTGTCTCTAAAACCTTAGATGTGTCTCACAGGTGCTTAGGATGGGGCGCTGCCATTTTCCCACTATCTCTTGCTGGGTGGTTCAGTTCTCTATCCTGTCACTTCAAGGCCACTGAGGTCTCCTGCTACATGCAACTGTTGACCCCCCACCCATCCCCAGGTGCCAGAGACCTCACCAGGTGTTATTCCTCTATCAGGCCACTTAGGTCTTCTGTCAAGCACCATGGCTGAACATCCAGAGCCCCCAAAGTTCCAAAATTCCATGGCTCTCTGTGGGGAACTGTGCTTCTCCCTTCTGTGTTCTCATCTGTTAAATGTGCCCCAAAGCAATGTTGCTCCTGCTTACATTGTCTTACAGACCTGAGTGGAAGAGATCTCTCAATTTTTTACTCATAGACCTTAATTTTTTTTTCCTCTAGGATTCAGACATGGATTGTTGTGACATCTAGCTTTTCATATCTGTCCACTCATTTTATATCTGCGTTTTTTTAAGTGCTTGATGTCAAAGAGTGCTTAATTTAAAAATCAAACCACATGAATGAATCAGAGAGAACTGAAATGGGTTATAAATTATTGAAATCATACAGAAGTCGTTTTGCAACAGGTTTCATGGGCATTGCTGACGGTCAAAGCAGCTGCCATTCTTAGTTCTTCATTCTAGTGTCCCATCATTACCATAACTCAGCTACTTTCTCAATCTCTGATCATCTCTGAGCACCTTTCTAATTCTGTTTCAAATAACAGACTGCAGACTTTCTTCCCACATGTCCAGGTCAAATTCCCAAGAAAGAAACTGATTGGACAAGCTAATTACCATTGCTATTGTACGGACATTTGTGTCAGGATACCTTTGCATCAGCAGTGACCACAAGTTAGTGTCATGTGGTACCAGCAAGAATACATGCGCAAGGAGCTTCCCAGAAGGGGTCAGTGGGAGTGACAGGCATTTTCAGACATGAACTTCCTCCATTAGGAAATAAGAATTCCTGCACGTAGTAACCTTCAGTAAAGATAAGGTACTAGGCACACAGTTAGCTCTCAAATATTAGTTTTAGTTCCACGGCTTAAAGAATTCCTTCGCATGACATTAAGTCCATTTAGGATATTTTTATCTTTCCAGTTTTATCTAATACATCTTCACTAGAATTCTAATAATGGCTAACATTTTTGGGGTGATAACAATATGCCTGGCACTTTTCTATTATTAAATGGATTCACTCATTTCATCTTCACAACATAAAGTACTGCCATTACCCCTATTTTATCAATAAGAAAACTGAGACACAAAGATGTTAAGTTCTTGCACAAGGGCACATAGCTAATAAATGGCTGAACAAGAATTCAAACCCAGGTATCATGGCTTCAAACCTCAGAACTTATCACTAAGCCATACTGTTCCTCAAACATCAGCTAATATTACTACCATAATAATATATAAATAACAGGAATAATGAGTGATTACTATATGCCAAAGAATGGGCTAAGGATACTACATATAGGGGTGCAAAACTGTTTCGTCCTGTCGCCGTTATTAAAAAACATTTGCATCATAGTGCACGGCCAGAAACAAAGAAATCTGTAACTTTTCCTCTAAGCATTGTATTAGCTGCACCCCAAGTCTGGCTATGTTCCATCTTTATCATTCAGTTCAGTAGATTTTCTCATTTCCATTGTGATTTCTTCATCAACCCATGAAATACTTAGAAGTGTTTTGTTCAGTTCCAGACATTTGGGAGTTTTTAGTTTTCTTGTTTATTTCTACTTTAATTCTATTGTGGTCAGAGAACATGCCCTGAATGGTTTCAGTGTTTTGAATGTCGCTGGGGGTTTCTTTATGGCTTAGTGCATACTCAGTTTTGGTAAATGTTCCAAGTGCATCAGCTTTCCTCCATTTTCAGCTACTTCAAAGGGCTGACTTTAGCTTTAAAAACCTCGAGAGTCCCTTCTAACACTACGTGTGAGATTCTAAGCATCAGTAACTGGTGAAGAGTTAGCTCTCGTTCTTAATTTTCTTCCAGTGAACTCTCTTCTTTTCCCCTTGAAGAAAACACCACCTGTATTCGCCTGCAGAGTTCTGTGCTCTTCCCACCGACGAGGAGAGACTGGCACCTCGGTTCCGCCGCCCGGAGCGGCCGGAACGCCGGCCCCGAGCAGCCCGCCCGAGCGCGCGTCCGCTCCCGCGCCGCGCCAGAGCAAGCCCAGCGCCAGCCCTTCCTGCCCCAGAGAAGGCCGAGGGGCGGGGCCCGCCGCGGCGTGCTGACGTCAGAGAAGGCTGCGACGCCGCCGGGTCCGCCGCGGCGCTGACGGCGGTGGCCGGCCGGTGTGAGCGCGGAGCGGGGCCTGGGCAGCGGCGGGACCGTAGGACCTCGCGCTGTGTTCTCGGGCTCCGGGGCGGGGGCGGCGGCGGCAAGGCCCCCTCCCCGGGGAGGCGGGGCCTGGGCGAGCTCCCCAGAGGGGGAGCGGCGGCGGCAGGGAAGGATGCATCAGAAACTACTGAAGAGCGCGCATTACATAGAGCTGGGCAGCTACCAGTACTGGCCGGTCCTGGTGCCCCGCGGCATCCGCCTCTACACCTACGAGCAGATCCCTGTGTCCCTCAAGGACAACCCGTACATCACCGACGGCTACCGGGCCTACCTCCCCTCCAGGCTGTGTATCAAAAGGTATGGTCTTGCCGCCTCCGCGGGGCGCGCGTCAGGGGGCGCGCCGGCAGCCTCTCCTCCCCACCTACACCCTTTTTGTCTGGGGTCTGTCTGTGCTGCTTTCCCCGAGCCCATCATTTCCTAAATGCCCCGTCCTTCTTATTCCTTTTTGCCATTTCTCCCTTCTCGTTATCTTTCTTCCTCCCCGGGCCTGGGTGCTTGATCCACGGAATAATAATGACAGTTAACAATGATTTTAATTACCACCATAGCAATTTCTCCTGTGGTGCTCTGCAGTTTACAGAGAGCCTCTACATCCTTTATCGCATTTGGTGCTTACTGGAATCGACTCCACTAACAATGGCCAAGTGATACTTGCCCCAGTGTATACCTAACCTTTGTTTATTTTTAGATCAGCCCTATGGAAGTGCAGATGGTTTGGGCCTGATAAATGCCCAACATGATATAATAGGAAATTGCATTAATATAATAGAAAACAGGTTCACATTGCCATATGCATGCATAGGTATATCAGAGAAATCCCTGATTCATTCATTCAGCAGATACTATGGAGCCCCTCCTAGGTGCCAGGCACTATACCAGGTCATGTAGAGAACAGCAGATATGGCCCTTGTTCTCATGAAACTACTAAGGTTTGGTCTGAAAGACTAAAGAGGTAATTACTCTACTGCATAATAACCATTGTGAAAAATGCTGTGTAGGAAAAGAACTATAGCGAAGAGAGACTCTTAACGGGCACCACCCTCTACTAGAGCACCCTAGAAGCATTTCTAAGAACGGCATTTCTTTATCATCTAAACCTTTAAAACCATGAGTCTCTTGAAAGCCTGGGTTTTAAAAAATAAAACCAAAAAATCAGTGTTCTGGTTCTTAGGCTAGCTTTGTGTTAAAACTCACTGTATGTACTTAAATAAAGAACCCCACTTCAAGAGAATTAAGGTACAGATATTGGTTAGTTCTAGGATGCTATAGTGACAAACTCTAGTGCTGGAATGTTGAGTTGCTCAGGAAGCAATCACACATCTGATTCTTGGTCTTCTTTTCAGCATGGTCTTTCCCCAGTTCTTTCTGCCCTGCCTGGAAAGTGTTTTGGACTCACAGTCACAAGGTGACATTCTGCCCATCCCCACTCAGTGGATGGCCCACAGGCCTTCACAGTTTGACTCCTAAGTACTATTTGCCTCCCCAGTGTCTCCTTTGCATAGGTTATTATACAAGAAATCAGAGCTGGGCCTTGCTATGGAAGTGAAGTTCCACAAGGACAGAACAGGTAGTGAATTACCTTAATACCTTAAGTATTTTATTACCCATGTAGTTGTAGTCCTCTGGATTCTGATGTTAGTGTCCAATTCTCATGGACTGAGAAGTGAAATACATGTAGTGCTTTGATCTTGGGCTGTTGAGTCAAAAAGACTCGGGTATCCAGATCTGCCACTTAACCATTTAATGAATCTTATTTTACCCTTTTGTAAAAACAAGGATAATCACAATTCCTACTTGAAAAAATATTAAGGATTAAATCAGATTATGTGTATAAAATGCTACACAGGGCATGACGCCTAACAGGCACTCAATTAATGGTGACTTGTTATCATCCTGATTATTGATTTTGAAGCTGAACCGAGAAGTGTTAACTTCTCACAAAGTAAGAGTAGATTCTCTGCAGGGAATATTCTTCCAAATGCTCTTCCCACCAGCTTGGTCTTTTCCAGGTTCACCTTTTGCCCTCTCTTCTTTTAGCTGTCAAGAGTGACCAGGACAGATTTTGGATATAAGGAGAGGTTTTGTATGTTACAGGTGTTCTGCCAACACTCCTGTTAGTTGGAAGGAGCATGCCAAGGTTGTGCCTCTCAGTTCAGTTAATCAGGTTATGCTGGGTTTCACAAAGTGAAAAGTTCTGAGGCAATAGGCAAAGCAGAGTATTGATCATCAAACTAGTCCTATATGTTCCTTCACATTCCTGCATCCTCACTCCCCCCCCCCAATATGAGTAGTCTTTATACTTGATGCTTATACAAGGTAAAGCCTGAAATTCATGATAAGAAGATTCACTTTATTCTTGATGATTGTTTGATAATGTGAAACCCTGTTATGTTTATGATGTGTAAAAATGGGAAAATGAGAACCATGGTGATTCCTACAAATTCAGTAAGTTAGCGTTATACATTAATGCTTATTAATAAGGAATCTGAACCAGTGAATGTCAAAGACCTTAATTCAAACAAAAAGATTAGATTTTGCAAGAGAGATGCAGGAGAATTTTAAACAATAAATAATCAGATGAGTTCTATCCACAGCTAGGGAAACATTTCACAAAATGGAGCTAGAAGGGACTTGCAGCAGCATCTAATCCACCTCCCTTGTTTTATAGTTGAAGAAACTGAAGCCAGAGAGGTTAAGTGACTTGCTTATGATCACAGAGCTAATTTGTTGCTGAGGGTGAGAGTGGAGGGACAGTGAGCCTCTTGACTCCTGGTTGGTGTGGTACATTCTACACCAACCCGTGCTGTTAAGGCTACTTAAACTCAAACCAGTTAGACATTTAGTGGGCAAATAGTACTGATATTTAAAGTAACCTATTGTTCCTAAAAAGGAGAAACTCATGCGACCTAGGAACTAGTTTGGTTTCACACAATCACAGCAAAGCTGTTCCAGCATGCCTATCTTAAAGGGCATTTCCAGTGGAACAGTTTGTATTTATTCTGCTTCTCTCGAGTCTGTTTAGCTTTGCATTTGTATTTAATGTGTACTAAAAAGGTATTTTAAGTTTGTGCCTAACCTTATACTTAGGTTTTTGGATACCTGTTTTTGAACATGAAAGTATGGTAGCTAACATCCAGTTTTAATCTGCACATTGATTTCTGTAGACATTTAGCATTTAATCTGAACAAGGCACTCTGCTTGGGACAGTGATGTCATAAAGATGGATGGTGCCAGCCATCAGGGAGTTGATAGGCTGGAGGATGAGATGGAATTTATACATAAATAACTCAGATGAGGAAGGAAATGGTAAATATGATAATAGAGGTGAGCACCAAAAAGCTCTAAGATCTCAGGATTGGTGGAGATGTGGAAGAACCTAAAGATCAATTGAACTAAGTGAGATATCGTATTTACAAAGGCAAAGATGGGGTTAAGGGCATAAAGCAGCAAATGTTAGATAATTGCCCCCCACAAACTGTCCCTAACCTTCTAAATGCTGATGGTGAGCAAGCCAATATGAATCTGAGATGCATGTCTGTTTGTTTTCCAGTTTGTTTATTTTATCTAATGAGACAGTAAACATCTGGAGTCATTTGCTGGGTTTTTTTCTCTTCTTTACCCTGGGAATATATGATATGACATCAGTATTACCTTCGGCAAGTGCGTCCAGAGAAGATTTTGTAATTTGTTCTATTTGTCTTTTCTGCTTCCAGGTAAGTCATTTCACAAACATTATTATTGGTAGAGAGAACTTTGGTCAGACAAGCTTGGGCAGGTGATCTTACGTCACAGCCACCACTTGTTTTTATTAAAGAGTCCCAAAATAGCATATGGGTTAGCCTATTCATTTTCATAATATAAGCAGCAAAAATGTTTTTATTATAGTATATTTGGACTTCACTGTTAGAGTATACTTGAAATCCAATAGATTTTAAAGATTAAAAAAAATGCCTTTCCTTTTCTCCTTCCCTTTTTAGAGATTTCTGTTTTAAGATTAATATAAGGATAGGAACCCTATTTTCTGGCTGAGATAGAACACTAGTTACTGGGGCGCCTGGGTGGCTCAGACGGTTAAGCATCTGCCTTCGGCTCAGGTAATGATCTCAGGGTCCTGGGATCGAGCCCCACATCGGGGAGCCTGCTTCTCCCACTCCCTCTGCCTGCTACTTCCCCTGCTTGTACTCACTCTCTCTGTCAAAAATAAATAAAATCTTAAAAAAAAAAAAAAAAAAAAAAAAAAAACACTAGTTACTGCTTAAAACTTTTTTCAGAAGATTTCCCATCTTTTTCCTATTTATATGTCTGTGATTTCGGTATTTGTTTCCATACTGTCTTAATTTTAATGTCTTGTTTTGCTGGTAGTGATCTTTTCTGTTGCTTTAATGTTCGTTTCCTTTGGTCTTTTTACGCTTGCCTGGTTTCAGATACTTTCAGTTTCTCCTTTCTACCTCTTATATTTGTTAGTTCTCTAGCACTTTCAGTTTTCTTCAAGGATCTGTAAAATTCCTTTAAAAGTTATATATAATATTTTAAAAAGAAATAATTCTGAAGAAAAAAACAAATGTGGACTGAAATCCTGCTGACATTTGTAAAATTTTAAAAAAAAATGCTGAGTGTACAGAAAAACATAAAAATTAAAAGCTGTCACCCCCCTCCCCCAAATACAGGCCAGCACTCCCTGCAGTTAGCCTGTGGCTACCATGTGAAAGGTGCATCTGTACTATACGTCAGCTGCACAGATGTTGTTTTCATGATACATCATTTAATTTTAGACCTTTAGGGCACCTGGATGGCTTAGTCGTTAAGCATCTGCCTTCGGCTCAGGTCATGATCCCAGGGTCCTGGGATCGAGCCCCACATCGGGCTCCCTGCTCAGCAGGAGGCCTGCTTCTCCCTCTCCCACTCCCCCTGCTTGTGTTCCTTCTCTCGCTTTGTCTGTCTCTGTCAAATAAATAAATAAAATCTTAAAAAAATAATAATAATAATTTTAGACCTTCATCATTCAACTCAAGACTTCGGAGTTAAATGACTAAAAACACATTAGGAACATCTCCCTTCCCCTTTTTTCCTAATTCTAGTTTCTGGAATAATATTTTAAGTTTCGTTGAGGGAAAGAATACTCTTGCATTTTTGTTATTATTATTTGAAAATTATTTTTTCTTTAAATATTTTTAAAGTATACTCATTTTGTCCTGATTGCAGCCTAAACATCTCTTAGAATCCATCTCTGGTTTTAAAACAGAAATGAATCAATTTCTTTATAGTTAAATCTTTAGATGTATCTTATAGACTAAACTGGTTTATACTCTACTGTTAATTATATGGATAGTATATCTACTTTGAAAATCCCACATGTTTTCCTCTACCCCCAGGCCTGCCCTTTATTCCTTCACCATCCAGCCACAACTGACGTTAGTTCAAGGAAAGCATATTAATCTTCATATTGGCTTAAGAAAACAGTGCATTGCAGAACTGAAAAACTGAAATAATTACAACTGCCAATGAAGAAAAACCCAAAATGTTAGGGTGACTTGCTCAGGATTATTCAGCAGGACGGTAAAATCTTGTTCTCCTGGCCTGCTAGTGCAGTGATCTTTGTTACACACTGTAAAAGTTGCTAAAGGCAGCAAGATGCTAACAACAGCTAAAGACAGCAGATTTTTCCTACTGAAAACTGCCATCTCTATTATTTTTTTTTTATGAAATTAAATTTATAACTTGTTGACTCAATTTTGTCAAATTCTTAGAGCCAGCAGGCAGCATGATAAACCACAAATTAAGATTGATTTACATTTAGGGGCTCCTGGGTGGCTCAGTCGGTTAAGCATCTGACTCTTGATCCCTTCTCAGGTCATGATCTCATGGTCTTGGGACCAAGCCCCACCTTGGGCATCTGTGCTGGGTGTGGAGCCTGCTTAGGATTCTCTCTTTCCTTTTCCCTCTCTCTCTCTCTCTCCCCTTCTCCTTCTTGCCCCCCCCAAAAAAAGAAAAAAAATGATTGATTCACATTTAATTTTTAAAAGACATAACATTTTTTTTCTTTTTCCCTTCTACCTTTTTTTTTTAAATATTTTTATTTATTTATTTGAGAGAGAGAGAGAGAGAGAGCACAAGCAGGGGGAGCAGCAGAGGGAGAGGGAGAGAGAGATGCAGGCCTCCCCGGGAGCCGGATGCGGGGCTTGATCCCAGGACCCTGGGATCATGACCTGAGCCAAAGGCAGACACTTAATCCACTAAGCCACCCAGGTGCCCCTCCCTTCTACCATTTTATACGCTCAGTACTTTCCCACCAACCAGATTAATAGAGTACATTCTGAAAAGTAGAATGTAATTTTAGGGGCTTTGAACTTTCCCAGAGGTCTTTCTGTCTTAGGGAAGAGTAGAATCCAGGAATGCCTTCCCCTAGATTCAGTTCATTTGCGTTAAGTTCACAGTCTACATCCAGGCACTAAGCTAGGCATCATGAATTCAGTGCTGAACAAAATCAGCCTGTCATAAAGATCTAGTCACCTAGGTAGGAGGGCAGAAGGGAGAGTGAGGCAGGGGTTTAAGCAGATAAAAGTAGTTTGTGTAAAGGCCCAGAAGCAAGAGACAGTTCAACACTTTCTGGACTTGTAGGGGTTGGCCTTTGTGGTTGGCTCGTGGGAGAATGGAGAAAGATGAGGCTGGCGGGAGGCAGGAGCTAGATCCTGAAGTATTTGGTTATCATGCCAAGGAGATTAGATATAGGATGTCACACTCTAATTATCTGTCTGCCTTGATGGAGTGAGAGAATCCAACAAAAGGAAACTTTCCAGAAAACTGAAACCAAACTCAATTTGCCAGATAATTTTTCAGTCCGTTTTTTTTTTAAGGAATTCTAATAATAACACATTTCTTTTAAAACTTAGAACAGATACCAAGTATAGGTTTACTTTTTAAAAACTCAGTGTTCTCTGTTAACACTATATATTTTAATTGCTTTTGAAAAGTATAATTTTTCTCTTTATTTTCCTTTTCACAATGAAATTAGCCTTATTGTTGTTTCTTGCTATAAAATATACTCACGTAGGAATTCAAACAAACAAAAAAGTGTATGGAAGAAAGTAAAAGCCATTTGAAATTCCACTTTCCAGAGGTAAGCACATTTGACATTTGTGTATGCACAGGTGCCTCCCACCTACTTGCCTACCTACTTGATCATCTCTGCTTGCTGTTTTGGTCACTCAACATTGTGACAATGAGATCTTTCCTTGTCAGTGAGAATACACACCTCGGTGTCCTCAGGATTTACTGTGTTTAATCTCAATGATAATTTGAGAAAACAAATAACCAAGCTTCTGAGAGTTATATTTAATTGGGTCAGTGAACTCTGACTTGTGGCTTACTAGCCAAAGCCACAGACGATGAAGATTTTAGACTGTGGATGAAGAAATGACATTGTGGCTAGGTACATTGTTTTGAATATCGATACTGAAGCTGTGGAGCCTGATTAGGTTTAATGACCAGACTATAGACTGGCTAGCTGACCCATTTTTCTGCCTGAGCAGTTGCTTACAAAATATTTATCAGTTTGACCTACTTCATATCATTTATCTGTGCCAGTTACTGCAACCCCCGCCGTCAGTGGCTTACTAGAGGCTCTTGTCATTGCTTTCCAGGGCTACTCCTGTAACCTCCCATCTTAGCCTTTCCGTAAGGCTGCGCTTAAAATCTTCAGTAGTATCACACCTCGCCCATAATATTGACGTTAAAACTCTCTGAGGTGTAGGACTTGTCATAATTGTATTGTGAAGAGGGCCACATGACATTCCTTAATGGTTCTCTGTTTCTCAATACACTGCTTTTCCTGTGGACCCTCCAGTAAACATGTGGCCACCTTTATTTATATTCTTGATGAATGCCAGCTCAGGTGGCAGCCCTTCTGTGAAGCTCTTCTCCCCACCACTTCACCCACCAAACAAATGCACACATACACCCACAAACCAAGGCCCCTTCCTCCTCTGTTTTCTCACTGTGACTTCTTACATCACCACTTGTTTGTCCACTTGTTTCAGGAAAATCTTTCAGACAGTAGAGGTCTCATCCTTGTATCCCCAGGGCATGACACACAGCAGGTATTTAATGGCTGGAGGGAGTTCAGCCATGGAAACCTTATCAGTCTTCAGAGGAGCTGCTTGAATCAGATTAGCTTTGCTCTCAATTTGGCAACATATAAAAGTCAGCATACATCACAATTATTTTTTCTCGGACACAAAACTGTGTTTAACTCACAACCCAAAAGTAAACTCTACAGTGAAATCTCATATAGACATAGAAAGTCTTAAGTGTAAAAAGCAAAATTGTAGAACAGAATGTATTATGTGATTCCATTTGATTAAAAAGAATATATCGTGTATTTGTGTACGTGTGGACTTGTATGTCATAGGTGTTTGATACATTCATTGAAGATACCGAGGACACATAACAAATGTTATCAGGAGCTACTACTGGGGAATAGCTTAAGTGGAGGAGCTTATGTTTTTACATCATACAATTCTATGTTCTTTGATTAATTTTTTAAGGACTACTTCTAGTGGGTACTTTTTTAAAAGGAAACTCATTCGTGAATCCAAATAAGCCTCAATTAATATTTTAAAAACATTTACATTGTATAATTTTCCCACTGCTGTGCTACTCATTTAAAATTTTATATTATAAAGTACCTACCATTTTAAATTTCTTTATTACTGTTATCCCTATTTTACCCATAAGGAACCTGAGAAGTAGAGAAATGACATGGCTTGCCTTATGGCACAAAGCCAGAATCCAGGTTCAGGTCTGTTTGGCCAAAAAGCCTGGGCTTGACCTAACCACTTCCCTGAACATCACACAAGTTGCTTTAATTTCTTTTTGTTTCACTTTGCTGAGATTTGTTTTATTTTCCATAGGTCTGTATGCTTTGCTCTGTGGGCTATCATCTTTTTTCCTGCCATCGATCAGAAAAAACCTGTCGAAGATGGATGGCATTAGATTATGCAGGAATTTCTATTGGAATACTGGGATGCTATGTCTCCGGGGTATTTTATGCATTTTATTGTAATAACGTAAGTAAGTTAAAACATTTTACATTCTATGTTTCACGTAGGTCTTGGGTTTTCTTGCCATGGTTCCTTTGAACTTCTGAATAAACACATAATTAACTTGTAGAAGAAAGAAGAGTCTTGTGTAAACTCATTTTTCAAAAGGGCCCTTTGATCTCTAGTATCTATTACCAGATCCATACTCATTTTACTAATTTTCCATTGAAATACATGAAGGTATTTTCTTAAAACGGATGTAAACACTACGTTATTAATGTTTCCACCAAATCCATATAGCTACATGACTCCTCAGATGCACATTATATGTCTTTTATGTTTATAGAGCTGAAGTTAAAGTTAGCGCTTGATGAAATTATGAAGCTTGCTGCTGCTTTCCATTTCTCCTGGTCCTTTACTCGCCTTTCAGTGAAAAAAACAAAGGGTTTGTCTGTGAGCATGTTGACCCAATTCTTCATAAGAAATACGTTTCCCTTCTTTAGCCTTATATTTGGAGGTAAGCACAGAGACAGACCAGCTGGGTGGTGAGTGACTTTAACAAGTATGTATCTGTTCTGAGTTCGAGATCAGCTCTACTTTTGACGCTGATGTGACAGAAGTCAGTTGTTGCCTTGTGCAAAGCAGTGTTTACAACGCTGCTGTCGGATTATATTGGCCTGCCAGACTATGGAATACAGTCCTTGGCTCATCACCTCATGTCCCAGCCAAGGAGGCAAACTGAATCTTCCACTGGGCTCAACACATCTCAAGCCCTCCCGTTCAGGAAGTCCTCTTCAGCTCTACTCTCTCTTCCGCCTGCTCGCCTACCTTGCTCTTCTCTTTCGTCCTTTAGTTCCCTCCCTTTCAGAGCCAGGACGGCTGCGCAGGGGCAGTATACGTACTAGGTACTTGTAGTCCTGCTCACAGAGGAATAGAGCCTGTCCTCTCCGCAAGCCCTCCGCATGTAGCAGGTGCTCCAAGCCATATTGCCCAGCCTTCGCGTACTGGGAAGGTTGGCTGTAGCGCAGGACTCCTCCGACTTCGGGAATTCTTAAGTAGGACCTTTGTCTCTGCACAATAACAGAGATAACTGCCAGTAAAGCTAAAGGGTAAAACTAGCAAAGAGAAAAATCATAAATTTGGCTTGAACTAGGAGAATTATTGATGGTAGCCACTTACATATGAGCCATTTGCTTTTTAGGCCTAATTACTTTGGAACATAAGCATTTAATTAAATATATGTGCAGTTAACCTTGTAAGTTGATTTGATTTTAGTAATAAAATGTTCATATCTGCTCAGCTTTCATTTACTCATTTTGCATGAAACCATTTATATCTTTTAGAAGATTTGGAATAAGCTGATAACTAGGAGCTTGTGAGGGCAGTCATGTCATATTTGAATTGTTTTACTATCTTATTCTTTCTCTGAAAGCTAACCTGTTTTCTATTTACCTTTGCCCAAACATACCTGATAATTCAAGAGAGCAGTGGGACACTTCTTGTAAATCTCTTTTCAGAAAAGCTAGGTTTCCAAGAAAAAAGAAAGCCACTAGAGCTAATGATCACTTAAAGGAAAAATGGTTTTCTTTCCTCTGGTACCTAATCATTTCCAAATATTCAATTGCTGTAGTGGCTCTTTATCTTTTAAGAACACAGGCTGCTTTGAGAATGAGAATGAGAACTCTGGACCTTCCATCCAGGGGAATATACATTTGGGCACAGATTAACCAAACAATTTGACATGTGATTTCAGGAAGCTAATAGCCCCACAGAAGTCCTTGGAGCCCAGCTTAAGAACTCTGCTCTATGTCATGCTAACTTTTGAGCTTCAGCTGCTCATTTAGATACCTAAATATTCTGTAAGCCCTTCAAACTTAATCTGTTTTAAAATGCACATTTCATGCTTTCCCATTCTCTCTCCCCCACCCACACAAACACCACACCTGGATTATCTTTGCTCATTTGCCCCATTAGTAGAAACCATTTGCGTGGCTTTAAATAATGGAAACATTCTGGCCATCCTCTGCTGCCTTCTCACACATCCAGTCAACCATTAAGATTTGAGTTAATTTTTAAAAAGTCTCCTGAATCTGCTGCTCACATCTCTGTCTTCCTTGTTCAACCAGAGTCCAAGCTTCCATTCTCTCTTTGAATCAGTTATTCTAATACCTTCTAGCTGGCTTCCTGTCACTGCTTTCTTTTTCATACTGATGTCAGAGTTATCTAATAAATCATTTGAAACACAGGCCTGTCATCTCATTCTTTCTTAAAGAACCTGCTATTCCCCCAGTGCCAACATGTTAAAATTCCAAGTCCTTAGCCTGACAGTACGCCTGCCTTTCAGCCTCCCTTCTCAAAACCTTCCCACTGTATGTGCTGTTCCTTTTCCTTGAGAATTCCCTCTTCCCACACAATCATATGTATTCCTCAAGAATCATCTGCTTAGATACCATCTCCTCTGTGAAGTATTCATTAGCTATTCCAGGTAGCAGACGCCCCCTCCTCTGTGACTCTACAACGTTCTGTTCACAGCTCAGTTACAGTACTTACCAGTGGATTATAATCATTTGTTCATGTCTGCCCCCCCATAGTCTATGAGCTCACCCACTGGCAGAGTCCGTGTCATAGTCCGCTTTGTGTCTACAGGACTTAAATTGTCCCTGGCATATAACAGGTACTCAGAAAATGCTTTTGTATGAATAAATGTGGTTTCTACCAGCTCACTGTCATCCTAAGAACCTAACAGGTGTATGGAACATGCAGTGTTTTAAGGAAGGAAGTTAACCATGTTCAGAAGTGAAAAAATGTAAATAAGCTTGGAATGTATAATGGAAAAGCCAGAATTGCTCTTTTCCTTCCCTTATTGTTAGTAACAATGAAAATCTGACTTCCTTCCCGTCTAGTATTGGCGTCAAGTGTACTTGATCACAGTGCTCGCTATGATCCTGGCAGTGTTCTTCGCACAGATCCATCCCAATTACCTCACGCAGCAGTGGCAGAGGCTCCGCTCCATCATCTTCTGTTCCGTTTCGGGATACGGAGTGATCCCTACCCTTCACTGGGTTTGGCTCAATGGAGGAATCGGTGCTCCTATTGTACAGGTAGGTTGAGTGTAGTCGATATTTTTCTCATTTTTTTTTTGTCCTTTCGGTTGTATTCATTTGGGGTAAAGTACTAAATTCAGACCAGGTGGCTGGGTCTCTGTCATTTGAGAAAATATTTATAATTGCATATTAATGCCATAATGTTCACATCTATATAAATAAGCATGCCTTGCAGGAAAAAGAAGTGTAACTACTGGTTTTTTTTTCCGAGATGTCTTTCTGCATAATACGTTAATTCGCCTTCTGCTACCCTGAGTGTGTAAATACCCAAGTCCTTATCAGTGGAGAACTTCCAGGTTTCCAGCTCTTTTAGCTATGGCAAGGATAATGCCAGTGATAACACAAATATGGAACTGGGAGGAATTGATTGATTGATTTTTGTGGAGGAAAAGGAGCCGGGAAGGATTTTTCCTTGGACCTGTTGAATTTGAGGCACCTGTGGGATGTAAAGGTGGAGATGGAGTTGGAATTTAGGTCACAGTTTGAGACTAGTGATAAGACTTGAAAATCATTACTAGCTGGAGCCATGAGAGCATGTCCCACCCACCAAGGACAATATACTGGGAAGTAAAAGAAGAGCTTATAGAGTTAGGTATTATGGGGCAAGTCGGAGTGCATTTAGGAGATAGCTCAGTGAGAATGTCTCAGTATTCTTGAGAAGGGGATTAGAAATAAGACTTAAGAGCTCAGAGATCCATACAAAAATGCTTTAAGAATATGCTTGAGAGTAAACTTAAGAATTTTTAACATCAGGAAATCTAGCAGAAATAATGTACAGTTGTTGCAATGGGACCTTTGTCTGGAATATGGGGATTTAAATGCAGGTTTTATTCAAAAGGATCGTATTTTTTTAGAAGACGGGAGAACGAACAGTAGGCTTACACATACTTGCATGAAGTCGGCAACAGCATGATGGAAAGCATTTGGATATAAAACTTTCTGTGATACAGTTAATTGAGTGATATTGATTTGGCCACTTTGTCAACTTGAGAACAAGGTGATGCTTTCTTCATAAGATTAAGAAATTGGGAGAAAGTGAGACAGTAGTGATGAGGAACTTCAGTGATCCTGATACCTGAAAACATCATTTCTCTGCCAATTTTAATTCCCTGAATATAAGTTAAAATACAGTGGTGAAATGCAACTCTAGATTTAATTCTTACCAGAAATGAATAACTGGTTATTGACATAGAAGGGACCGAAATTTGAGATGAAGTAAACACATCACTTTTAAGCTTATAATGATAAAAAGAACCAGACCTATTAAGCCAGTAGATTTTTGAGAAATTCAGAAAAATATGGGAGCTTTCCTGTGTCCAGAAATCTTACAATAGAAATATGGTTTAGGAAAATAGTGGTTCTGAAAGATGGAAATCTGATGTGATCACACATCATTCCAGTGAAGAAGCAGAGGGAGACATCCTGAGAAATTCTCCAATAAGCTATAATTTTTAAAAGATGGGGAAAGAGGGAGAGACTTAACCGAAGATGAAAAGTTCCAGAAGGGCTAATTCTGGGAAGCAAGGTGTGATTGTGTTCTGTGTGGACAGATTTCATTGTTGGGCCAAACTTTTTTTTTTTTTAAGATTTTATTTATTTATTTATTTATTTATTTGAGAGAGAGAGCACAAGCAGGGGGAGCAGCAGAGGCAGAGCGAGAAGCAGGCTCCCCGCTGAGCAGGGAACCTGACATGGGGCTCAGTCCCAGGACCCTGGGATCATGACTTGAGCCGAAGGCAGACACTTAACTGACTAAACCACCCAGGTGCCCCACAAACCTCTTGTGTCTTTTCTAGCCACAAGACCGTGATCTTCAGTTTTTTTGCTTGTTCAGCTGGTAACTCCATTCCCCATATGCATTCCACCCATGCATCTATGTTGGAGTTGGAGTTGGGTGTCCTTAGTACCTTCAACCATGTTAAAGTTCTAGCTTCTTTAGTACCCTCACCTTTAGAGTACTCTGTTCCACTCCTATGGGCCATTTCCTACAGAGAAGAAGAAGGAAAGGGAGAGAATCCCAAGTAGACTCTGCACTGAGCATGGAGCCCGACAGGGGCTCAATCTCACATGACCTGAGCCAAAACCAAGAGTCAGATGCTTAACTGACTGAGCCAGCCAGGCGCCCCTGTTTCCTACAGTATTGAGAGCAAGGTTTCTATAATTGGAGACTATCAACAAAAGCAAATGAGATTTAACAAGGTTAAATTCCACCTATGAATTCTACCTAATTTGTGAATTCAATTCATAATAAATTAGGAATTCAGTCACAGTAGAAAGATCTGTGAAAAAATGTTTTGCTTTTCAGGACTTTGCACCCCGTGTAATTGTGATGTATGTGATTGCTCTTCTTGCTTTCCTATTCTACATTTCCAAAGTTCCAGAACGGTACTTTCCAGGTAAGTATCACTTTTATAGTGATCTCGTGACTTTATTCTAAATATATGGTGGAAATCTATGCTTCAGAGTATCAAAAGTTAGATTTTTTTCAATATAATTGGTTATAGAATGGCCCTCCTATTGTCAAATGTTACCTAAAAGCTTAACTTTCAAAGGGCTTTCACAAACTTCCTTTCCTCCTCACCATGAGTTGAGTGCAGTAGATGAGGTCACCACCATTTCCCGATTATGAGCTAGTGACAGAGCTGGGAGTCTTCTGACTCCCAACCATTGCTTTTTTTGTGGATACTAATTATCAATTATCATTGACTTCTTTATATACTACTCATCTTAAAAAATTATATATGTAGAGATCCACAAAACAAGAATAAGAAAGACAGAGGGAAGTAAGATAACGAAAAGAAGCCAGGGTTAGGATCACTTCACATATATCCATCATGAGGTTCTAAAATTAAAGGCCACCAATCTGCCTTTCAGCTTCCTGGTACCCAGTGCTAAGGGGAAAATAGCAGAAGTTAAAAATCTTCACGTCCACAAGATATACGCAGGCTAGTAACCGAATAGAAGGACAGATTTCCCTGATTCTTCAGTCCAGAAAAAAACAACCTTTGATAGAAAAGAACTAAGAGGACACTGGGTAGAATGAATAATGTCCAAAACATGTATTTGCTTGCTTAGAAACTTAGGTCTAGAGTCAGACTGCTTGGGTTCAAATCCACATCACCCACTTACTAGTTGCATGAGCTGAATAATTTACTTGTACTTTTTCAGCTCATTTCCTCATCTGAGGATGGAGATACTTTCTCTCATGGTGTTATTGTGAGGACTGCATGAGAAAATGTACATGAACCATTTTGCAAGGTTCCTCACAAGTAGTAAGCACTCAGTACATGCCAGCAACTATTATTATGATGATGTCCCTTGACCTCAGTCCCATTAAGTGGAAAATGTGGTTTAGTAAGGGACAGAATGATGTAAGTCCAGGTGAGCTTTGGCTTGAGTCAAGAATAACAGAGTACATAGAGCAGTGATTTTTTTGGTTTGAGGAGCTAGAAGTAGGGCAGTGGTTCATATTCAAACTGCAAACTTGCCTTTCCTTCCTGGGCTAAGAATCTCTTCCACAGTGAATTGAAGACAGGATTATGCCACTCATGATGTACGTTGGGAAGAAAAAGGATGAGAAACCCTGATCTAGTGAATGAATAGATCACAGAACCTCAGGCATTCTTCTGTGCACGTGTTTTTCACCAGTGAGTTTTAAATATGAGGGGAGTAGAAAGAAGAACCTGAGTGTAAACATTAGGATTCAAGAGCACAACTAGGACATGTCCCTTCATTGAAGACCACCCATCCTTCAGGGAGGGCCAGAATTTTCCTCAGAAAACGGTTCTGGCAAAATATATTTTTATATCACTTTATTAATTATTACTAATTTCTTCATGACAAGTACATGTGGAAAATTCAACCATGAAATTTTTCTACACTACATAATTGTGGCCATCATGTTTTTATGCCTTAAAATATTCATATCAGAAGTTCCCAGTTGTCTAACATAAGATCCCTATAAAAGGTCAAATGTTACGTAACTTTTTCCCCAGATGAGCTTGACATAAACTGTGCCCCATGTAGCAGAGCGTGTGGCAGAGTGCACGGGCAGTGGAGACGTGGAGACCGTACAAGATAAGAAGTCAGATGCTCTTGAATGAGTGGCTTAGAAACCTTGTCTTGCCAGTCCCCATTTATGACCTGGCTGTAGAGATAAACGTGCAGTGGTGAGATGGTGGGTGACTACTGTGAGATCAACAAATTGACACCTAAGAACTTACTTTCAGCTCAGTTACATTTTTAAAAATACAGAAACAGCACAATGGTATTTGATGGGATCCAAAGATCCCCAAAGGTACCCATGGACAGAACTAAGTGGATCTGTGATACTTGTATGACAATATGATCAGTTTTCTTTATAATCCTCTGTATTTTGTGCTTTTGAAAATGGGTCTGTGGGTTTCACTAGACTGTCAAAGTGTGCTGTGGGACCAAAAAAAGGCTCGGAACCCCTACAGAAAGGATTGTGCAGATTTTAAAACCTACATACTGTACTATTTCTCTTTGTAAGAATAGACAGGGACAGTGGTTAGAGAATATTTACATTACGTGACCATAGAAGCACCATGAGTAGGGAAAAGAGATTTACATTTAAATTTCTATAGCTCTGTATTTTATTTTGTTCTTTTTCAAGAAGCTTCCCACATGTTAATTATTTAATCTCCTTGGAATTTAAACTTTAAGCACAAAGAGAAATAGTTCTGAGTTGTGTATGAACTTATCCACCTTAGTTAATGAAGCCATACTAATTACATCTTGTGGATTTGTCCATGACACATAGATCCAGATAGATAAGACATGAGACAGGGGAGAGAAAAGATCAAATTCCTGAAATTAACCCAATTAGGTTTGTAAGACACACTTGGAATAGTATTTCAAAACTCACCAGTGTCCTTAAATTAGACCCAAATATGAATTCATCCTTTTTAAAAAAACAGTTGGGTTTGAATGAATCTCCTGTCAGTCTCCAGGTGCTCTGACGCTGCCAGAATCTTTTTGCGCTAAGCCGTATTTCTAAGGCCGGAGATAAAAATACATTCTTACTTTAATATCAAAATATTACCGTCAGTATTCTTTTCTCTCTGCCTTCGCTTCTAGGACAACTGAACTACCTCGGATCAAGCCACCAGATATGGCATGTCCTTGCAGTAGTGATGTTATATTGGTGGCATCAGTCAACAGTGTATGTCATGCAGTACCGACATAGCAAGCCTTGCCCTGACTATGTTTCACATTTGTGAACTCAGGTATGGCCACCTGGTGTATTCAGTCGTTAAGCAATATGTAATGGGGAGTTGTATACCCCACTATTTCTAAGATTCACATTTGTTTTTCCTTTTTCCTCCTATTTAATATATCATGAGTAATACTTTATAAAAATGGAAAAATGTACTTGGGGATCTGTAGTAATAACTGCTTTACGGCCCTTAAAGCTACTAATTTGCTGCTTGTACAGAAAGTGAAAATTAGTTGACATTTATAAGAAACATCTGAATAACAATGAATGTGAAACCAGTGTAGAAACAGTATTTGTTTTACTTAACACCAGCTTAATTTCCTTAGGAAGGGCTTACCTCCATTATAAAATGGAGTCATCCTGTGTGATTCCTTTAATAGAAGATATTTACAGTAGTTGATCCAGTTGAAGTGCCTCGTCAAGGCTAGGGTTGCAATAGCCTATGCTTAACACAGCCAGGAGAGTGGTTTTGAATCATCACTAGCCTCTAAATACATGGTTTGTGAGAAACTGGCACTTAAGATATGATTTCCTTTAGCTAGAGGCTCTCTTCTCCTTAGGAACATTGGATTTTTTAGTTTGCTAGAACAAAAACTCTAAACCTTTCCTCCTTTGAGAGAGGCATTAAGAGGAAAAGAACTTGCATTGTCATTTCCCATCAGATAAGAATCGCATCAAAAACTGATTATACAATCAGGCAACAAATTCTGTGGTCTAATAACCAAGGCATTCACATTTAAGCTTTTTAATTTCAAAGAATACTACTTAGTTCCGTTTAATAATTGCACTCTTGCCAGTGGATTACAGATTTTTGGTTCCAAAATTCCTGTAGCAAAATAGAGAGTTTCACCTCTCTGAATTTGCAGTCCTAAATTTCTTGATGGATGGGGGTTCCCAGTTAAATGGGTGCTACTTACTTTCAAGGCCACAGAGTCCAGATGGCCCAGGGTTGACCCTGAAATGAACCTTAAGCCTTAGAACAAAGTCATGCAGATGCCCCAATAATGACAGGATTATTCCCCTGTACTCTAGTCTTTCCCCGTTTTATGCATGTGTTAGCATTTTATTGACAACTCAGAGTATTGATACACACTGTCTAGTGTTTGGGCCTGAAACATTACTCTTTACTGTATATACCTAAGAAATAGGTCTCACTGCCCTAGCATACAACGCTCTTCTTGTTCTTTGGTCTTTTCATATGTATAAATTAAATCCCTTTTGAAGCAGTCATTCACAAAAACATGTTCATTGGAATATATAAAATATTATCCAAATTTCTTAATGGGTTGATATGAGCTGCTTTAAATACTGGTGTATGTTCAGAACATTGGAATTCCTAAATATCAGGAGAAGTGTAGATTGATGGTGAAGCTTATTTCCACATTGCCACTTATACATCTCATATTAGATTTATTTTAATGTGCCTCAGGTCATGCATCTGTAAAATTTTGTTTCTTTTCAGTATAATGTTTTTGGAATATAAATTCCCCATGCTAGCATCTCAGCATGGAGAATCTTCGCAATAGGCTAAGGGCGCTGTGTTGTACGCATTATGATGATGGAACACACTACTTTGAAAATGGCTGCTCTGCCTCATAAGGCCGCAAATTTGATCCCTATTGCTGAGTGATAAAAAGACTTTGCTGTAATGATAATAGGATATGTTTTCCACAAAACAACCCTTATGGGTTTAACATGGTATTATTGATTTTAAATAGATATTTTGTCATTTTAGCCAAATAAAATACACTGAGAGTAGTTATAATTAATTTAAACATAAAAAAAGTCTAGTCATTTTAGGCCTGGTACCATTTTTACTATAAAATCTTCTCAAAATAAAAACATCGAATTTTAAGTTCTGTTTTCTCTTAATTTTTAAAAAACATTCCTGGTTTTTTGAGTGTATGAATTATCTAATACTTGCCATCTGAATTAATGGATAAAAAGGGCATACTGTGTTTGATTGTTTTTTTAATTTAAAAGGCATACAGCTCTGACTGTAGGGAGAATTATACCATGTGAACATTTCGTCTTTTTATGAAAATGTTCAATATTGTTAAGAAAGCTATCCTCTCTCATTTTCATCTTTACTATGATATATTTTATTATAAAATAGGGAATGGATGAATGTGGCTTGCTGGCACCTATAAACGCGTCTGTATGTCGGTGTTTACTGACCACCTACTGTGCACATACCGCTACTGGCAAAGTGTTTAAGACATTGTTAACATGAAAGAATATTTAAAAATTGCCTACAAATCTGAGCCTTGTAATAATGTATATTTAAGTTATTTTTGTTTTTATAGATTTATTAAAAAATAAGATTAAAAGTACACTATTCAGCTACCATACTAAAAAAACTGGTTTTAATTTTACAGTGTGTAAACTATAAAAGCTCTTTACCTACAGACTTTACACATATATTTTAAAACTACCCATGGCTGTTTTAAATTGTCTATTGTGATTTATAAGGTTGTAGTTAACTCATTTGAGGCAATTATCTTTCTATATAAAGCCATTTTCAAAAGATAGTGCTTGTCTTTTTTGTTAATTACACTTGAGTGCAATTCAGTCAGCTGCATGGCAAAATACATATGATGTAAATAAACCGGGTTTACTAAATATATTAAGCACTGTTTGTCGTTCTTTATAATACATAACAGCTTCAAAATCGTATTTTAGAATCAGGAATGAAGATTCAGGGAATCTCTGTCACATCCTTTGGCATCCTACCTGGACAAAGTATCCGATTTGAAGATTGTGATTGACTGGCATAAAGCTGTGCAACTCCATTTGGCAGGTACCTACCGAGAGCTATCCTTTGCCCTGTATTAAAATGTCAAGGGGCAAAGCCTACACTTCTGGATTCCTGCCAACTGCTGAGCTGAGTAGATCTGTATCCACCTGAAGTCATCATTCCGGGTAATTCCAGCCCTGCCAAAATGTGTGAAGAATCAGCTTAGCTATTCAGGCAGGGACAGAAGTGTCTTTTCCATGCATTATCACAATTACTGCGTTTGTATTCAAAAGAGGTGCAGATGCTACTGGGTACCAATGTCCCCTGAAATTCTGTACCATACTTCCTGAGTAGGTAGTGAGATAATGACCCAAAACTGAAACTACCTTTAAGGAAACATTTTCACAAGGGAGAGGTAACAGCAATAGGGTTCTCTTGTGAAAAGTGCAAAGTCTATCCTTAGAGGGTAGGAATGATAGCCACCAAAGCTCTAGTCCTGCTTTGTAAGTCTGGGATCAAAAACACTATGCAGAACATACCTGTAATTTCAGTAGTGCCAACCATCTGAAGCAAAAGCGAACTATTTTTAAGTGTGCAACATAAAGCTTCAAAAGCTCATGCTTTCACTCTGAGAAGAATTAACTACATCTTACAGATGATGCTAGAGCTGGACTTCCTTAAAAATGGATTTGCTATTCAAAATAAATAGCTCTAACTGCAGGATATATTTTTCTCTAAAGAAGTTAACCATAACTGAATTTGAACAGTGGTACATTCCACACTTCGTACCATTTACTAAAAAGACACAAAGCCCTTATTCTTCCATGTAACTTCAGGTGTTACTAAGTCAAAAAAAAAAAAAAAAAGTTCATAACAAGATGAATCTTTCCACCAGCCACCAATCTAAAGATTTCAGTTTGTGAAATAACACATAAGATAATGCAATCTTGACACCAAACTTAGTCCACCAGTCCAATAAACAGGTTTTCTCTTTAACGTTTAACGTGCCAAAGCCTCTTTTCTGACATAATCAAGGATTACAATATTTTATTTAACCAAATATTTTTTAAGTTATATACGTTACCAGTTTTTAAGAAGCTTAAATAAATTATACACAATGCAAAAACAATGCCAAACATTCAAAAGGTACTTCAAAGTCATGTTTTTGCCGTACCTTCATTGTTATAATTATCAGTAATTATAGTGCCTGAACAAATTGTGCTACAAAGTATTTTTGCTGCAAAAATGCTAGGTCACAATAGGTTTTTACTTAAATCCTACACTGTGAGTTTTACCCTAAGAACAGAGATCTAATCCTATCCATTTTTCTGTTCCACTAGCTGGAGCATAATAGGTGCTTCATGTCTGTAGTGTGAATAAAAGAACTGAATAGAAGTCTACATCCAAAACATTTAAGACAAATAATGAAAAACTCCAAAGTCACTAATTATAAAGAATATGCAATCCATTTGGGATTTATTGCATTTAAAGAAAGCAGATTATTAAAACAGTAGGTATGATAAATACAGTAAGAAAATAATTTTAAATTTCAAACAAAACAAAGTGAATGAGGGACAGAATTCAGTCAATAAGAAGAGTAAGCAACGTAAAGGCAATAAAGTCGTAAAATCAGTTAGTGCTTAATTAGATGTAGAAAGAGAAAAAAAAAAAAGCAACCGATTCTATCTCATAAACAGTTTCCCAGCTATATTTGAGGATTGAAGTTACTTTAGAAAGTATGTTTTGTAACAATTCTCAGAAATATAATAAGCATGTAAATCAGGTTTATTAAAAGTTAAAGTTATTTGCTTAGTGGTACATAAAAGGCTTCAGAAAATTCAAGTTTAACAAAAAATGGAAGTGTAATCAAAGAAAGTGCACTTAAAGCTGTTTGCCAGCAATTTAAAAAGTAGCTTACTATTACTATACTACTTACTATTAGATGACCTTTCAATCACAAAAAGAGAGTAGGAATAAAAACAATTCTTTCAAAAGTAGCACAATCGATTTTTAAATAAAAATAACCCCAAATGATGACCCACTGCATTTTCATCTGTCTACCTCATTCTTTTAGTGGCTTTTGTAAAACCTCCCTAGGAGTGAATGTTCTTTTAGTAATGATTGTGGTTGCAATTCCATTTAAAAGTAAAAATTCACATTAGCTCCACAGTAGAGAGATGTGACATGTGCATGCATGTGTGTGTTTATATATTTTTCTCAATATATAAACACCCTGGTGTATAAAAGTTTTCAAACATAATTTTTATTCTCACAGTAGATATGTCATCTCATTCTCACAGTAGATCTGTCAGCTCAGTATCAGACCTAACAATGATGAGTGATTTTGCTAAAAGGGAAGAAAAAGTTGACTGCACATTCTACACATATTAAAACAAATGTACCAAACTCCTCAGACCTAGTGATATTAATACATGTGTACCTTCTAGCAATGCTTATATGAAGTACCAAAACCTAAACTAAGCAGAGTAGCCAAATAGTAAGAAAACTGCTCTGCCTAATGAACATCAGAGCCAAAGGTGGGCTCCGCCTTACTCTTTCCACCAGCAGTATGAGAACAACAATCTATTACCGTTAGACAATAAACGGGGTGGGATCAAAAGGTGTGTCTATCTACAATTCCAAATAATGTCGTAACTGTGCCCAAGTACACATTCAGGGATGGGCTGGGTCAGTGGAAGAATCACATAATTTCCCACTGATACTTCTGAATAAATATTCTAGTCAGTTAAATTTTCAGCTGGCCTAAAACCTTTCTTCCTCCACCTAATACATATACCAAGCAACTTTTGTGTCTCAGCAGATACATTCTTCAATGCCATAAAAGCTGACCTTTTTAACACTAACAATTGTGCTGAAGTGATATTTAAAAAGTTAACTGAATGGTCCACTTTTAAAACAATTATTCAAAATCAACAAGCATTATTAAAGCTGTTAGGACAGAAATAACTTTGGCCTCAGATTTTTGCTAGCTTCATAATTTACTTCCCTTAGTGTGATGTTCAAGTATTACAGGTTTAGTTATGACTACTTTACGTACAAAAGAAGCACAGAGGACACCTGATTAATAATAGGAAAATAATTTCAACTCTCCTTCCTTAAACAAGAATTGGACCATCCCGTAATAGAACCAAACTTTTACTGAATGTTGTGTCCCAAGTTTGTGTTAGGCTCTTTCACGTGCCTTGGGAGCTCCAGCCTCATAATTCTCATAAGGGAATTACCTGGGCATCAAGAGAGTGACCTACATCCTAACGATAGTGGGAAGAGATAATGAAAAATGGAAAGCAACCCTAATCCTGTACTCCTTGGAAAATGTCTTTACTTCAACACACAGGAATCTCCCCATTTCTATCCTATTGGGTCCCCTGTCGAATCCTAATGTTTCCTCTGAGCTATAATCTCAAAAGAGGAAAGTCACTGGGCTGTAATATAATAAACATAAGGATGGAAATATTTTAAACAATGTCAAAATTGTTTCTTTAGAATTCATCCAACTTTATAAGCCCCAAGTGTCTACATCAGTGTCTAAATCACTTAAAATTATTCAGTGTATTGAAAAGCAACTGTAAGCAAGGCCTTGGTATCAGACACAATCTTAAGTATTTCATGTTTACATCCCAAGGAGACCACATTAATTCATCTGCTACCCCTTTTAAATTATAAAACTCATGAGGTCTAGCAGAGACCAAGGCCAAGGACTAAAATAGTCAAAAGCATACCGTGTACACATCAACCAACAAATTTTCATTAAAAAAAAATTGTTTGATACAAACCTACCATGAATTTACTAAATGTAATCATCAACTCTTCACTTTTAAAAGAAAGTATCACTTGAGTCTACTTTGTAAAGTTTTGAAGAACACCTAACTTGAGCATTTGCATTAGCAGTATTAATCAACCTGAGAATCAGGAAAAAAAAAAAAAGGTGCAAACATAATATTTGCCTTTGGCACAAGGACAAGTAATTGGTGCAGTCGGGGCTCTAAAAATACAACTCTTAAGCAGTAATATAATGCTTGGTCTGCCTCTGCTACGCTGTGATTCACATATTTGCTTCCCTGTTTGTCCACAAATTTGTATCTGATTTAAAATATAAAAGAGAAAAGAAACAATAAAAATGAATATATAGTTCAGTAACATTTACTTTGCTTCTTTCCAAGTTTAGAACTGTGAAAACAGGCAAATAGCTCATCCCATTTGGGGTACTATAATTAAGATATTCTAATAAGATTACTCATAAAATACACTAATTGGATTCAAAGAAAGTTCGTTTAAAGTATAGCAATCAAGAAGAGTGCCAGTTAATAAGAGTTTCCACCCCTTTTTGTAAATAGCTTCATCAGTTCTAGAAACTTCTAAATGTTGACAGGGAAGGACAGTTAATTATAACTTAAAATAGCTGAGACACAGGAAGCACAGACACTGTATTCACATTAATTCATATAGTAATTTCTATCTTATTAAACAATCTCTATAAAATCTCAAGTTTCTAATTAGGATTTGGGGTGTAAAAAAAAGGCAATTTGGTAGCTGGGTTCTTTTCACTAGAGACGCATCAACTAGCAGAACTGAGATGCTAGTTCCTATCTCATACCTTATAGCCATGTTAAGATCTTGCGTATTAGTGCAGAGGTACTTGCAGCAGGATGCGTGAGTCCTGCCTATAAGGCTTTATGGGTTTCACTGTTCTGTGCACTCTATTAAAACTACTCCACCCTCCAAACCTAACTAGAAAGTTGTTGCTCGTGACTTGGGGAATATTTGGGGAAGGTGGTAATTTAATAAAGTACATTATTAAATGCAACATGATTTTATGTTGTAAACGTCTTAAAAACTCAGGGTTTCAGCTACATATTTTTTTTTCCTGAAGTACAATTTCTATACAACCCTTGTCCTCACTCCCCATTTTTCCAACAATCTGCTTTATTAGGGACATGACAGTAAAAGTTTTGAGCAAGGAGCCATTCAAAAACAATATATAAAGTGTTCCTGAAGTCGTTTTTTTTTTTTCTCTCTTCAGTATCATTTTTTTTCTTTTACATTTTCCACACGTCAGGTATTTCTCTTTAGTTTTTGTCCTAGGCTTCTGGGTAGATATTCCATATTAATGGCACTTGTTTCTAAAAATGCAACAGTTTCAGGCACAATAGTCAGTTACTTCTGGCTCTGCTTTGTCGAGAACGGTGTAAGGACTAAAATCTCTGCTCTCTCCAGATAATTACTTTTTAATTCTTTAGGAGAACCCGATTTTGTTTTTACTGTGTGGAAATTAGAAGAGACCTTTAAAAAATCCACAAATGCAACCTGTGTATGTACAAATAACCTTAGTTTTACATGCTGGATCCTGCCATGAGCCCAGAATATGCACACACAAGTGACATCCTGTTCTAAAAAGAATGACACAGCTTTCCAGTCCCTTTTCAGTGGCTACACAACTGGAAAGGTGGCACGTGCTTTCCCGGGATTTCCGTGGAGTCACGTCTGGTGGCTGAAACCCAGGGTTGGAGCGAGCAGTCAAGCTCCCTTTTCTCCTGCATGGAAGAGACAGCGAGTCACTACCCTGTGGAGATACTTCCTTTTTCTATTTGGTTTATTTAAAAATCACCTATGCTGATTGACCTGTAAGAATGAATGATATAAAGAGCTATACAAATGAATTTTCTTTCAAATTCATAAAACTATTCATACTTTTTTGAAACAGGAATTAATGCCAAGAGTCCGCCAGAAGTATCTACTGTTTAGAAGGAAATGGAGCAGCACCAAATGGGTCTAATTCGACTGACTGGGACTGTTGGGGCTGATGTGAAGTGATGCTTTGCACTACAAGTTCTGTAAAGGGCACGGCACCAAAATCATCCATTTTCAAGGCATCTGTACTATGGAACGAGCCATGCAGTGAATTGGGTCTGGGCCGCCCAGGCAGGCCGGGGTTGTGATCGGCACGGACGTCACTCAGGCCCTGATGTGGAGGGTGCCACGGCAGGTCTGGAGGATGGAAGGGCTTGGCACCGAACGGGTCCAACAGACTCTCCTCGGGCTGCAGGCCGTTCCCTCTGTCTTTCCCATCCGTTAGTGCAATGCTAATGTTCTCCTTGGAGTCTGAGATGGTTAAAAATTCATTGCTACTTTGAGAGTCTCGGCGGCCCACCTTCTTGTGCCTGCGAGCCCTCTCTGGAGTGCGGTAGGTAGGCTTCACAGTCTTCTTCGTGCTGGTTGGCGTGCCATGATGCCGCTTGCCATTACTTTTGGGCAGATCCTGCTTTGTGCGCCTCTGGCGAGAAGACAGTTTCTGTAAGCTTCGCTGTTTGACTTTTTGTTGTTGACTCCCAGTTATTTCCTCAAAGGGCACAAGCCCAAAAACGTCCTCGTTGCTGTCACTTTTGCTTATTGATGTGGGAAAGGGCTGAAAGGGAGTGGAGCCAAAGATATCTACACTCTTCGGACAACCGGTTTGTGCTTCCGGCCCCACGGCACGGCATTCTGGTACATTCACCTTCTTGCTGAAGGGTGCCTTTGTGAATACATCAAATTCCTCCTGCTCTAGACCCACAGTAGGACAGAGGGGCTGTTGACAGAAGTCCTTTTCATTCTTCCCTTGGTGAGGCTGTTGAGCACGCACTGCAAAGAAGGGGACAGCGCCAAATACATCAAACTCCTGTTTAGGAGCCTCCACTCCAACATCAGAGGGCAGTCGGGTCGAGGTGAGGAGTGTGTTAGGAGGATCTTGCGTTGGTCCACTGCCAGATTTGTCTCTGTAGACAGGGCTCGCATCACTGTACTTTACTTTGGCCTGCTCATAATCAGAATCAGAGCTATGTTTCTCTTCTTCCTCATCTTCAGAATCCATGAGGAGAGGCCTATGACCCAGATTTTCCGGTTCAGTATCATCATCATTAAAATCTCCTTGTTCTCCCTGAAGAACTTCTTCATCCTCTTGTTCCTCCTCTTCGCTGCTCTTAGGAGAAGGGGGATCTGATTCGAAATCACTTTCAGACTCATCGTTCTGCTTTTGCACTTGACCCTGTACTGATGATGAATTCTCTGAGGTTTTCTTTCCAGTCCGGTGGTCTTTAGATACTGGACTTGCTTTTCTATTCTTGATAGGGTTTGCAGAACTATTTTCTTGATTCATGGATGAATGTTCAATTTTCTTTTCTGGAGAACCTGCAGGTTCAAAGAAAAATCATTATAGCATTCCAATACATTTCAAGAACCATTTGCACTAAACAATATGCAAGAACACAAGGCATTACAAATCCCTCATACCAGTTCACTTAGAGAAAATAATGTCAATTCTTTGGTCATTAGGCTTAGGGAACGCACGTATCCTCAACTAGACAGTTAGGTCCTCTAGTGCAGAGAGATTTACTTGCCTCTGTACCCTACACACCACCACCTACTCATCATAGGCCCTCATTGACAGCTTTTTATTTATGGTACCCAGTAGAGGCTCTGAATATAATACACAGGCAAATTTTCTTCTCCGACTTTCCAAGTAAGATTATTCAGCTAATTGCCCCTACTCAGAATCCCACATTTACCAAACCACATTCTGCTTATATTTCAACTCCATTATAAAGTTTTCCCAAAGAGATCAACAAGCAGGAAGAGCTTGTCTGCTCAGTTATATGTTTCACTGTAATTTTTTAAAATTAGCATTCTGGTCGTCTTACAACCTAGGTTAGCACGAGTGCCTCCCCATAATCTGATCAAAGCCAAGGACCAGGTACTGAACCAAGACCGTACCAAGGACATCTGCCTTCTCTAGATGACACATCTTCCTTTAACTGTCTTATCTTCACTACTAAACACTCCATTAAAAGCATGCTACCTTTAAAAAAAAACTTAACTACCAATATGTTCACTGTACGATGCGTAGTAAAACTGCATCAAATATAGTCCTTTACAATTTCACCATATGGTATATAATAAAGACTGTATTAGTTACACAGAAGTATACTACCCTCCCAATATACTGATGTATTGAATTGATTTTCCAGATGTAGGGATCAGTTTGAATTGATCCAACCACATATCCAATCATCCCTTCCCTTCCTTTGACTAAGATCAGATATTTTCAAAATAATTGGCTAGGTCATGAAAACTAATCAACTTACGATGCAAGGACCATTTCTTTCCTGTTATTAACATGGTCCTTATTGCATATGATACTCTTCAGTTCTTTCCTTCTCTTTAGAAGTCAATACTGTTGTCTTCCCACCTCCCTGACTATTCCTTCTTGGTCATACATATAGAGACTTCTCTTTCACGAACACTTCCATATGCATGTATGTTCCCTAGGGTTCTATCCTTGGCTTTCTCCCTCTGTATGTCCTCCCATGGTCTTAAATACTTATATGTTATTTACCACATACACCATCATGACTGGATCTCTCTAATACTGACCATGAATACTTATCTTACTCATCTAATACTTATGAATATGTATCCTACTATTACTTCAAACTCAGTAATTTCAAAAGAGATCATCTTTCCTCTTAAAATGTGCTCCTCACCAGTTCCCACTAAATTGTAAACAACACTTCTAACTAGTTCTGCAAATCAACAGAAGTCTGGAAATCATTCCTTCCTCACGAGTTTTGTGTTTTTAAACTCTTGAATCTGTTCCCTCCAGTACCACGTCCCTCAAACTACTACTCTATCCTGCCACCAGAATGATTTTTCTGAAACACTAATTATGTGGCTACAGCTTAAACCCATTCAGTGGCTCTCTAAAGTCCCAACCCTTAGCCCAGCACAGGGGCCCCGTCTCTGGATTCTGTCCTCCCACACCTTTAGCCTCAGACCTTGATGTCTTCCATGGGTATATAGCTCCACCCGACACATTTAGATTTAAAAAAATTATTTTGAGTTATTCTGCTATCCAACCTCTTAATGTTTGCTATCAGAAACTGAGGAACCTAATAGATTTGGGTTTCAAGGGGCATTCTGCTGTTTTAACATCTCTCTACCATTGTCACACCACCCTCTGGTAGGAGCATCCTTCTAGCACTCCCACTCCTGCCTGACTTGCTTGGTGGACCTGGCTGTGTTTCAAGATCCAGCCCATGCCAGAGCCCTGCAAAGACACCCCTTGAAAAATACCCATATTTGGGACTCCTGATGAACTTAGAACTAGCCTTAATTGTACTATATTACAATTGTTTGTTTGTCTGTTTTCCCTACTTGATTATTACCTCCTAGACACAGTCCTATTTATCATTTACCTCACATCATTCTTTGCTATCCTAGCATGTGGTGAATCAGTATTTGTTGAATGAAACAATAAGTTACTACTCTGAGCTCGTAGCCATGGACGCATATCCAATACATTCAGAATACAATAAAGTAAGTTACATTAAAAAATGAACTCTTTACATCTGGAGATTTTTTTTAGCTCAATTCAGTCACTGCATTTTTTAACAAAAAATGTTTGTTACATTGGTGAGTAAACAGTCTCTACCTTCAGGAGTTTACAATCAAGCGTGGGAGACAAAGAGTACAAGGACTGGTGCTCTGAAATAACAGAGCAGTGGCGCAAGTCATGGGCCAGGGGAACGGGTACAGAAACCTACTCTGGAGTGAGAAGGAGCCAGCCACGCAAAGGACAGGCAGAAAGCTGCTCCAAGGAGCAGCTAGGGCATGTGTGAAGGCAAGAGAGAAGTTGGCACGTTCGAGGAACTGAAACTAGGCCAGTGCGAATGGAGTACAGTGGCAAGGGGAATACCATACAAGATGAGGCGGGAAAGAGAGGGGAAAGGACCAGCCTGTGAAGGTGCCTTCAGGCCATGAGAAGGAGTCCGGATTTTGCTCTAAATTCGGTATGCAGTGGGAAGCCGTTACAAGGCTTTATTTAAAATGGGTGTCATGATCAGATTGATATTTGAAACATAACTGACTGTGTAGAAAAAAAGAGTGAAAAGAGAGATACGAAAGTGAGGAGATCAGGGAGGAGGAAATGGTAGAATTAAAGCCAGAGATTCTGGTGGCCTGGATGACGGTGGTGGCAGGCTAAGTAGAAATGAATAAGTAGAGACTGAGGAGGGAAACTCTCTGGAAGGATGGTAGTGCCATTAATACAGACAGAAAAGAGTGAGTAAAGAATAAGAGGAAAAGTAGAGATTACCAAGAATCAGGTTTTGGACACAAGGCTTGAGTTATTTGTGATGCATTTAAGTGCAAATAGTAGATACCTGTGGCTGAGGGCAATGGTTAGTTTTTGACTGGAGACGAGATTTGGGAGTCCTCCCCATGTAGAGGGTATGTAGAGAGAGTTACAAATCTGAAGGAAGTCACTTAGGAAGTGAGTACAAAACAGAAAAAGGGGACCCAATACTGAGCCCTCAGGTATGACACATTTGGAAGTCGGCAGAACCACCTACAAAGCTAACTGCAAAGTACAGAGAGAAGGACCAAAACCAGGCGAGTGCAGTGTCAGGGAAGCCAAGAGAGGAGTGCTTCTGGAGACAGAGGAGACAACTGAGCTGGGTGAGGCAAAGATGTGCAATAAACTGAGGACAGACAATGGCCACTGACTCTGGTCGGTCCAGGCAGATTGTTGGCAACCTTGAAGTGACGAGTAGGGCTGAGGAGGAGAGGGAAAGAAGACACGGAGAATTCCATCAGGTTCTACTTAAATATAATCTTCATCCATTATTCATCTACCAGTTCCATGAAACCAGCCAAGAGCTAAATGCTGTATCTTTACAAATTTACAATAGGCTTATCTTAAATCCTAACAGATTAAAACCAAATCAAATACAGATTCTCAAGTTTGACTTCTCCCCCATACAGCTTACTTCTGATATTAAAAACAAAGATGACGTTTAGATTAGCTGTAGAATTTATTTTTGTGAATTTTTATTCAAAAGAAAAAAAAGTATAATGGCAAAGACAATCATCCCTCACGTTGGCAGTTCCTCTATGATAGTTTAATGTCTTACTTCAAGCCCCTTACCCCCCAGAGAGCCACAATGTGTACCCATCATACCTGCTCATGGACACCTCCAAGAACATTCCATAATGTTTTCCAAAGTGTATCCCGCAGAACATTATTCCTGTTACAAGAACCAAACAGCTCTGCGGTCTCATGTACCTGAGTTTATAAAATGCTGCTATGTAATGTGCCTCTACCTGGAAAATGCTCACTAAAAGTGCTGTCAAGTCCTACACAAAAGAATCTGCTTAATCTTATGAAACCCAGGACTTCCCAAATTTGCTTCACTACACTTTTATGTACAAGTAGCACCCAGTAGCTTTATAAACGATTTTGCAAAATACACTCTGGAAAAATACTGCTTCTACAACTTTTTCTTTTCTTTTTTAAAGATTTTATTTATTTATTTGAGAGAGGGAGAGCACAAAGGGAGAGTTAAAGAGAGAAGCAGACTCCCCGCTGAGCGGAGAGCCCGATAGGGGCCTTGATACCAGGACCCTGAGATCATGACCTGAGCTGAAGGCAGATGCTTAACCAACTGAGCCACACAGGCGTCCCTGCTTCCACAACTTCTCTTGAGAAATTCCATTTCTAGGACACAGAGATGATCTGGAAAATTTAACAAAGGACAGAGTCCTTCAGTTGACTTTCTCTGTTATTCTTCTATTTTAATCCCAGTCTTCTAAATTAACTATTTCCTGCACGGAACTGCACCACAGGGATCTGCTGGGTTTGGAGACTCCACACGGGGTCGTGTGCCAGAGATAGAAATGCTTGGTCACAGGCCAGGTGAGCACAGGGTGCGGCCGGAGACCGGGGAGACGGGAGTGATCGACTGCTTTGCTCTGGGGGCGCACTGAGGAGTGGGGTCCCGAGTTCTCAGCTCCTCCCGGGCAGAGATTGGGAGGCCGCCATTTTCACTCTCGTCCTCCAAAGGTGTACGGAAAGCTTGCAGGGAACAAAAGCTCCCAAGAGCAAACCCGAGCGGATTACTTAGCCTGATGGGGCAAGGGCGGGGCAATTCCACCTCCGGCAAAGATATCTGGGAACCACGGCAACAGGTCCCTCCCCCAGAAGATCAGCAACAACAGCCTGCCAAGACCAAGTTTACCGATCAATGAGAACGGCAGAACTCCAGAGCTAGGGGAATACTGCACACAGAATTCATGGCTTTTTTCCTGATTCTTTAGTCTTTCAAAGTTAATTTATTAAATATTTTTTTCTATTTCTTTCTTTAATTTTTCCTTTTTCAACAAACAATTCCTTTTTTACTTCATTTTTACAGTCATATTCTATCCCTACATTGTATTTAATATTATTTTTTGTATATATGTAAGTTTTCCTTTCTTTAAAATTTTGGGATACAGTTTCTTCCAACAGACCAAAATATACCCTAAATCTAGTGTATGGCTTTGTTCTAGTCTCCCGTCTGATCACATTCTCTCCTTTTTTTTTTTAATTTTATTTCTTTTTTCAACCAACTTCTTACCCTATCAATTCCTTTTTTAAAATCTTTTTTAATTTTCATCTTTACAGTCATATTCCATCCCTTCATCATATTTACCCTTATTTTTGTGTGTGTATATATATATATGTAGTTTTTCTTTCTTTAAAATTTTGGGAGGCAGTTTCTTCTTTTTCTTTGATCTGTTCTTCTAACAGACCACAATAAACCCAAAATCTAGTGTGTGGCTCTGTTCCACTCACCAGCCTAATCATATTCTTTTTTTTTTTTTTTTTCTTTCTCTCCCCCAACCCCCATTTGGGTCTCTTCTGATTTGTTTTGTGTATATTTTTCTGGGGTCATTGTTACCCTTTTAGCATTTTGTTGTCTTGTTCACCTATTCTTCTCTGGACAAAATGACAAGACGGAAAAACTCACCTCA